GGAGGAGGATGGAAGTGGTGGGTCAGAAGAATTGCCAGAGTTAGTTGGCGGCGGAGAGGAGGAGGAAGAGGCGGGCGGGGGACGATGGTTGGTGCCGTTCGAGAGGCGCAGTTAATCCGAAGATGTCCAACAAGTCCGATTCGAGCCCGGAATGTCCGTTGACATCGAGGACACGTTGGAAGCGGTTGTGCGGCAGCGTTGCGTACTGGGCGCAGTTGTGATTTGCGAACTTCACGTATCGCTTTGGCGGCAACGATGCGGTTGGCTTCGTAGATCGCAGCGCCTGTCTTCACTGTCCTCCTCCAGGTCGGTCGATCGCGTGCGAGCTCCTCCCAGTTGGTCGTGTTGATTTGCAGGCGTTTCAGGGAGGACTTCAGGGTATCTCTTTAACAGCGAATCTGGCCTCCTTGACGGCGAGAACCCGTCGCGACGTCCCCGTAGAAGAGTCGTTTGGGTAGTCGCTCGTCGTCCATGCGCACCAGGTGGCCGCTCCAGCGCAGCTGAATTTGCCTCAGTATGGCGTAGATGCTGAGGATTCCCGTCCGTTTCAGCACATCAGTGTCGGGGATTCGATCCTGCCACTTCAGCCTCAGGATGCGACGAAGACAACTGAGGTGGAAGTGGTTCAGACGACGTGCCTGCTTTGCGTACACCGTCCAAGTCTCCGCTCCATACAGTAGTGTCGGCAGGATGACGGCCTTGTACATCTTCAGCTTCGTGCTCAGCTGAAGACCGTGGCGATTCCAAACTGTGCTTTGGAGGCGACCGAGGGCTTAACTGGCTTTCGAGATCCTGTTGGCGACTTCGTCGTCGATCTTGGTGTTGCGGCAGGGAGTACTGCCCAGGTACGGGAAGTTCTCCACCACTTGCAGTTGGGTTCCGTTCACGCTGATTTGCGGCGGCGCGTTGGGGGTTGTGACTGAGTTGGGTGGCGGTTGGTGCATCACCACTGTCTTCTGTGTGTTAATGACCAGACCGAAGTTCTCGCAGGCGGCGGAGAACAGGTCCATGCTCCGTTGCATCTCCTCTTCTGAGGTGGTGTTCAGGGCGCAGTCGTCGGCGAAGAGGAGTTCGTGAACGGTGGTTGTGGATACGCGCGATTGGAAATGCATCCGCCGTTGATTCAGGAGGTGACAGTCCGTCCTGTAGGCGATGCGGATCCCGGGGCGTTCGTCGCGGTAGGCGTCCATCAACATGGCAGAGAACATAAGACTGAAGAGGGTAGGCGCCAGTACGCAGCCTTGCTTCACTCCATTGGTCACTGCGAACGCCTCTGAGACAGCTCCGTTGTCCGTGACTCGCGCCATCATACCGTCGTGCAGCTGACGCACCATCTGAGTGTATCGCTCCGGACAGCCGAATTTCTGCATGATCTTCCACAGTCCATCACGATTCACCGTGTCGAAGGCTTTCGTCAGGTCCACGAAGGTAGAGTACAGGTGGGTCCGCATCTCCTGACACTTATCCTGAAGTTGACGGGCGGCGAAGATCATATCCGTGGTCCCACGATGGCGACGGAAACCGCATTGGCTTTCCGGCAGAAGGCCCTGTTCCAGATGGATGTTGAGGCGGTTGAGCAGGATGCGAACGAAGATCTTCCCGACGATGTTCAGCAAGGAGATGCCGCGGTGATTGTCGCAGACTTGACGATTCCCTTTGCGCTTGTAGAGATGCACGATGGTTGCGTCTTTCAAATCTTGCGGGACTTCACCTTAACGCCACATCTCTTGGAAGAGCGCAGTCAGGTGATCCATCAGTTGGGGACCTCCGCGCTTGTAGACCTCAGCAGGGATTGCGTCCGATCCGGGTGCTTTCCCGCTGGAGAGCTGCTGCACGGCCCTGATGGTCTCCTGGAGAGATGGCGGGAGGTCGAGGTCCACGTTGTTCTCTACTTGCGGCAAGCGGGCGATGGCGGCGTCGGAGATGACGGAAGGGCGGTTGAGGACGCCTCGGAAGTGCTCGGCTCATCGCTGCAGGATTTGCGTCTTCTCAGTCAGGAGAGTGTTGCCGTCGGCGCTGAGGAGAGGAGCAGTGCCTTCGTCGGCGGACCGTAGACAGCTTTGATCGCAGAGAAGAAGTTCTTCCATTCGTTGTGGTCCGCGTATCCTTGGATCTCCTCAGCTTTGCGAGCAGTCCAGGCGTCCTGCATCTCGCGCAGTCGTTGCTGAAGCTGTCGGCGACTGCGGTAGAAGGCAGATTTGGTGGCATCAGTGGGGTGATCTACGTAGGCTTTGTTTAGGCGGTTCTTCTCAGCAAGCAGATTTCTGATGGCGGCGTCGTTGTCGTCGAACAAGTCCTGGTGTTGGCGGGGAGCGCGACCGAGGACGGCGAGCGCCGTCGCCTGGACCGTGTCTCGCAGTTGACACCAGCGGTTCTCAACGGAGGCGTTTTCGGCAGTGGCGGCGTCGGCAGCGATAGGAAGGTTGTCTAGCCGTTGAGCTAGCTCATTGCTGAAATGGAGATGGTGAGCGGGCAAAGACAACAAGGCAACATTCAGCTTACCTGGGGGTCGCTTACCTTGTGGTCTCCTGCGAGGCTGTAGGCGAATACGCATCTTCGAGATGACGAGGCGATGGTCGGTCCACCCGTCAGCACCCGCGATCGCCTTCGTCACCAGCACGTCCCGCTGATCTCGCCTCCGGACGAGGACATAGTCCAGCAGGTGCCACTGACGCGACCGAGGATGCCTCCAAGTGGCCTTCTCTCGCTCCGGCAGACAGAAGAGCGTGTTCGTCAGGATGAGGCGGTGTTCTGAGCAGGTGCGGAGAAGCAGCAGACCATTGTCGTTTGAGCCGCGGAGACCGTGGGGACCCAGCACTCCCCTCCAGGCAGTATGGTCTGTGCCGACGCGGGCGTTGAAGTCACCAAGGACAATCAACTTGTCCGCCTTCGACACAGTCGCCAAGAGGGCGTGCAGGTCCTCGTAGAATTTGTCTCTGACGGCGTCGGTGTTGGTCATCGTCGGAGCGTAGACGCTCATGATGGTGGCGAATTTGCCTCCCATAGAGGCAGGCGGAGGCTCATCAGGCGATCGTTGATGCCCTGCGGCAAACAGGGCAGTCGTCCCACGATTTCGTTCCGAATGGCGAAGGCGACACCCGCGTCCCGTCGCTCTGCCCTGGGTCGACCGCTCCAGAAGAAGGTGTAGCCGGCACCCACCTCCTCCAGTTGGCCTTGTTCGGAGAATCGGGTCTCGCTGAGTGCGGCGATGTCCACCTTGTAGCGCGCCAGTTCTCGTGCCACTAGCGCCGTCCTCCGCTCCGGTCGGTTGCTCCTCGGATTGTCTAAAAGGGAACGAACACTCCAGGCTGCCAGAGTGAGCGGGCTCACCCTGCCAGTCTGGTGACAACGAGTGGGGCGGCGGGAAGGAGATGGACAAGAAGGTGACGAAGGAGAAGAATAGGCAGAAGAATAGGCAGAGGTAGAGGAAGAAAAGGTAGGATGAGGAGAATGAGTATGGTTGTGGTTGTTATTGGTATTGTTGATGTTTCGATTTTGATTGTTTCGACCATGATTAGACGTCTGCGGCCCTGGCTAGCCTGGAGACGGCGTGGTACCCAGCAATGTTTAGGCCACCTTTTCTAGGCCCTTCCCCTCGTGGGGGCTGGCAGTGCCATCCCTGAATAGGGCTGCCATGTGCCGTTGTGGCACGGCCGAACTCCACTATGGGACCACGACTTCGGGTTGTAGTGGAGAGCGACTCGAATTCGCCGTAAGCCGCGGTCTCCGACGGCGCAGGTGGGCGCATCAAGGCGATGTCGATGTGGAGATCCATCCCGTCACCGGCTGTCAGCGGCGTGCAGAGACGAACCACGTCACGACGGTGCCGACGCAAGGTTCCATCCGACCTTCCATCCAGCGGAATCCGCAAACCCTGTGCACACGGCACAGCGCACAGGGCCCCCTCGCCTGGTTTAGCCCGCCGGTCGAGATGGTTGCCCGGGGTGTGGCCGCTGAGCAGAGCCCAGCTACCTGGAGCCAGAGGTGAGAGTTGGGTGCTAGCAAGTGGACGCTAGGCGCAGTCTCACCTGCAAGCAAGTGAGCGACCACCACGACCATTAAGTGAACCCGCCGCTGACACCCCGACACCCCACGTTGCTAACTGAATTACAAGTGACTGACCTCCTGCCAAAATTCCTGTCACTGAACTTTCGTAGAACTCCGCCAAGGTCTCGATCACATTTTATATAAAGACATTAAGAATTCGATCCTCTAATAAATGTCGATTTTGTCGTTCTCCGCACCTCCACCTTTATTGCCTGTTTACCCTCGTCTGTCTCCATTTCAGGCTGCTAGGTAGTTTTTTCTGCCATGTTTGGCATTGGCACCTGACCAGCTGGTAAGAGGGCTCATTTTACTAAGCTACCGCACTTGATCAAGCTTAACAACAGGCATTTGTCGAGACGGCTAAGGCGCATGGAAGCACACGCGTGCTCACATCTGGTGCATGAGCTCATCACACGGGCTAGGGACCGATGGCGCCTTGCTTAGGCCTTGCATAGTTAGTGCGTCCAAATCTGTTGGCCTCTGAGCAAAGACACGCGCAGAAATCTCTCGCGTTAATTGCAGTCGGCGGAAGTTCGCGCATGACCAGGGACGAGGCGATTTGTTGATTCGCGCGTATACGACATAGTGGCGACTGTCCTGCGAGACGGTTGTTTCCTGCTGCGCGTTAGCGTCCATCGATAAGCATTAAACAGTGAGTGACCGATCCCATGAAATGTTGGTTGAAATTCTGAAATGCGTTTTCGATTAGAAGGATTATTTAGGCGCGGTTGTAATACTGATTATCTTGCGGCATAATCCTATAATAGTTCAGACTCGGCAGGGTGCCAGCTTTTGAATACACTTCTTTTCAATCTCCTGCAGAAACCGTACTCGGCAAAAATGACTACTTAAGAAGCATGAGTTTTTCACATTGTTTTTCGATGGTCTTATAAATTCGCATATATCTTATAAAAAAACATGAACGAAAATATGCTTTATTTCAATCGTTTGATAAAGAATCGCGTCATCTTCGTATTTTATACTCGAAGAAGAAGAAGAAGTAGTATAATTAGGTTTTAACAAAGTTTTCTAGTTCCCGAATAATTTATAGTCGGATCATTCGATGCATTAGTGTTTAGTGATCTCAGTCTGGAAGGTGCATGCGGTCCGAGTAAGGAAAATCCCATATTCCTCTATCCCCTTGAGGAGATACCACAAGGAGTCCATAACATTTTGCAATGGATGCGGACTATGTTTTACATTCAATGAGGCGCAGTGGTATACGGACAAGTACGATGCTGTATGGTTGGACATTGCACGAACTGAAAAAGTCTCATGGTTAGAAACTTTTTTGGAACCTAATTATACTCCTTCTTCTAATGTAAAGTATAAAGATGACGTGAGTCTCTATCAAATGATTGAAAGAGAAGATAATTTGTTCGTAGATTCTATAAAATATGTTTAAATTTGTAAGGCCATCGAAAATCATTGCGAAAAATGCATGCTGCTTAAGTAGTCGTTTCTTGTCGAGTACGGTTTTTACAGGAGATTGAAAAAAGGTGTATTCAAAAGCTGACATCCTTCCGAATTTGAAATATTATAGGATTATGCCGCAAGAAAATCAGTATTAGAACCCCACCTACGTAATCCTTCCTAATCGAAAACGAATTTCCGAACTTCGGTTAACATTTCATGAGATCGGCCACTCGCTGTAAGTGGGTTAGGAAGGACAGGAATCGATAGCGAAGATAAATTAGAATAGATTAGAGGAAAGTAGGGAAATTTTGTCAAGTAAATGAAACGTGCGCGATGCTCTACGCCCTGCGTCCACCGTCCCCGCTGTAGCTAGAAATTTCGATGTGGACTTGAAGAACAAAATCACCCCCCCCCCCGTTCGATAACCATATCTCGAACATTCGAATTCTACTCCATGTCGTGCCAACATGTCCCTGCTATCACATTGTGACTGTCACAGTGAGGTTAAAAGATACCCAACCAGAGACCAGCATACCAAAGTGCATGAAGTCAGATGGTATGATATGCACATTAGCCGTGCGAACTCACTAACATACGTGAAAACATAATTTATAATACACAGTCAAGGTTGCAGGCATTTCTGAGCTCGCGACAGCATAGTCTGAGTTAAAGTTCAGTCGCGTATGCCCTTTAAGGGCTGACCTGTTACCCAGAAAATCTCCAGCTGATTTTACCCTCATAGTTTAACATCAATCACCAGTGATTTACAAGACACGGGTCACTTGACACTGTCAGCGTTGAGTTGGTGTTTCTCCATCGGGTGAGCCTTGAACGGGCAAACTCATCTTTCCAGCGAAGTCAGTGGTGCGCACACAGTAAGCGCAAAAGCAAGCGTAAAAATGCTCTCTTTGGGTTCTGGTTTCAAGATTAACGCATTGCCGGACGACCTGGCACTCAACAACTGGGCTACAGTGCTCGTCGCAAAAGTTGCACATCAAAGCACCTATAGTCGAGTACGAAAAACTAGGTAAGATGTGGTTTGGTAGTCCCACATGATGGGCACAATATTGTTGGGGTTAGGATTAGGGGTTACTGTTAGGGGTTAGGGTTAAAGGTTGGGGCTAGCGGTTAGGTTTTAGGATAAAGGGCTACAGTTAGAGGATTAGGGTTAGGGGCTAGCGCAATGTTTGCCGATAATCTCAAATTGAAAAGCCGGAAGACTCTCTACAGTTACAAGACAATCTGAATCGCTTGCAACAATGCTGTGATGAGTGGTGTCTTAGCCTCAATCGTAACAAATGCCAACTTATATGATTACGATCGAGCAACAGGAGGCCGTTGAGATATGAATCTCACCACCTTATAGGCGGTCATCAACTCGAATCAGTCAACGAGTTAAGAGACCTCGGTGTGTGGATGACGTCAACTCTCAAATCATCGTCTCACTGCGCCAAGGTATCAAAGGAAACTATGGGTATCCTAGGCGCGATTAGAAGATCCTTCCTCAATTTCGACGAAGAACTTTTCGGCCGAGTATTTGAAGCACTTGTTCGACCACCGTTGGAATATTGTGTTCAGGCATGGTGTCCCTGCACGAAACAAGATTACAGCCTACTGGAGAACGTACAACGAAGGACGACCAAGTTAGTCGGCGGGTTAAGTAGCTTACCTTGTGAGAGACGCCTGGAAAAGCTAAAAATATTTCCTCTCCCTTTTAGACGGCTAGACTGTGGCTTTCAGTTTGACGATTTCTTCGAGCTGGCGCGGACGAAAAATCTTCGAGGGCATTAATACAAATTGACGCCAAAATATGTCAAACTCGAATTGCGGGCCAAATTCTTCTGCCACCGGCTGGTTGGAGGATGGAGCAAACTGCCAAACTCCGTTGTCTTAGCGGAAAACGTTGAGAACTTCAAAATAAGACTAGATAAATTTATGCTTGACGGTCGAACATTTACACACTATCAATGACTGGCATAACTGCTACGTAAATATCTGCATTTTTCAAACGTATATCTGTAAATAGGGTTTTCCAAGGCTCTACCTCTATCCCTCATATATACTGAATTATACTGAATGAATAACTATTTCTCAACAATTGAAAATACAACCGCGCACTCCCAATAGCTTTTCTTTTGCATACAACTACTTGACCTCGTCGCCTGTGTGTTTTCCGGCGCCACCTGTAAAAACCCCTATTACCACCGGTGTCGTATTAGACGTGACTGGGGTTTGTTTACTTCATGTGGGGCTACCAAACCACATCCGACCAAAAAAGAAATGTAAGACCGCCAACCGTCTAGACTACTCCTGCGGTCATCGACACTCCTCATAAACGTTAACCCCGGGGACTTTTTCATCCCTTAACGTCAACAAGGACGTAGCTTGAATGGGTGGCGCTGAAACGATTAACGTGATCAAATGCCGGAATCAACAGATTGTTCATCGAACTTTCGGGCTCCTACGGGAGCCTACCATTGAATATAAAAATGCAACAGTAGACGCGGTATCCACGGGACCATGTAGCCAGCGAGTAGCCGCCGTTGCCGGTCCACAGGCCTTCACGCAAGTCTGCATTTCTGTCACTTCCAACTCCACATCATAATAAAATCGCCCATAAGAGACTTCACCTTGCTGTTCGCACCTGTTGCGCGTTCATCGTGCACGAACGCCCTGCAAAACCCATTTCACAGGCGAAGGTCGATGCGTCATTGGCTAAGGATGCGAGCAGTCTGTGTCTCTACGAGGCTCACGATCGATAGACACGCGCAGAGAAACGCTACTCATGTATTATTTGATCCAATCAGAGCAAGCCTACGGACTACCGCTGCAGTAAACGCAACCGAATCCGCAACTGCGGCAGGGCTAGTGAGGCGCCTGGTACCCAGGTAACAGAGTACTTTCCAACCACTGCCTCCCGACAGATGGCAATGATAATGTGTGGTCTGGTTGTGAACAAACCAGACGACAGCCGTTCAAACAGTAAACTTCCCTCTAAGCAACTTCAGTGTCCCTGAGTGATGGACGAATCCTGTTTGCTGAGTCTGTCGCAATATCAGATTCACTTATGAAACTAAGCCAGTTGCCGAATATGTGTGACATCGTAAACCAATAGCAGAGGTAACTGGGTGTATTTTAAAGTGGACTCGGGATATTCAGGCGGGGCCCTTTAATCCACAGGATGGGTTTTTCTCGCGTTCGGTCTTCCATAAACAGTCAAACGGAAATACGGTAAAGGCAGGCGAGAGCGAGAAGAAGTGTAACCTTCTTGTTTGAGAGCAAGCATAATCGAGGTTAGATGGGGCATATAAGCAAGATATGTGATAGTAAAATAATCAAGCAGACGAGACGGTTTATGAGAAACACAGAAAAGCAGCTGGCGGTTCAGTTGACAATGGCCAGAAGCATGCGTTTATAGTCGCCCGACGTGTCCCCTTCAATGGCCCTTGCAAGACTCTTTTTGTATTTAGCCTCATACGCCCGTTTGATGTCCTCCAGATCCAACTACAAAGTGAAGAAGAAACGAAGTCAGGTTTCGAGGGTACACACGGAAAAGTTACTAAAGAAAATCAAAAGGATTTCAGTGTTCTGGAATG